AGAATGGATTAACGGTAATTACATTGAACCTTATGGGGAAATTTCCTTCGGGTTGCGACCAATTCGGGGTGCGGAACCAATTCAGAGTCACGGAACGAATTAAATTCGTAACCTGAGGTTCCACTGTATATCCTACCTTTAGTTTTTATAATTCAAGGCAGTGTACATATCCTCCTCCTATTTCCCCCACAATTACAACCCTGTGAGTAGGGTTGGACTGAGAGAGAGTGACCGCCCAAAGTCACCCAGCTGGCTTCCATGCCTAAATGAGGATTAGAACTCATAGTCTCCTGGTTTCTAGACCAGCGCCTTAACCACTACACCAAACTGGCTCTTCCGTCTAGGAAATGGATGGAAGAAGTGGTGATAAAAGATCCCTTCCAATGCAGAATTTGCATTGTTCTTAAATTAAGGAGAAAACTCTGGTGGTTGAATGTGTAGAAAAGCAGGTGGTGTGGGACTTTTCCAAAATCATACACGCCTTATAATTTGCATTTGTAAAACAAATTCCCCTTACAGCAGTGTTTCTCAACCTCAGCAACATTAAGATGTTTGGACTTCAACTCCCAGAATTCCCCCAGCCATGGGGGCTGGGGGAATTCTGGGAGTTGAAGCCCAGACATCTTAAAGTTCCCAAGGTTGAGAAACACCAATTTAGAGTATGGCTTTGTATTAAAACATATACTCTATTTGAAGCTGCGTCAAGGATTTTTTCAGTTAGATGAAAAGTCATGCCATCAAACTTTAAATAAATGAATGAACTAGTAAGAACCTCTTGTTAAATACATGTAAGTTACCAAGAGCTCTAAATGGGAACAGACAACATATAAAATTTAAAAACAGACAAATAGGTTTCAGCACTGGAAAAGCCATTTTCCAAATTAATTTTCTTGGGAATGTTGGCAAATCTATAATCTTTATTTTTTCTAGTGAGCTATTATTTTAATTATTTGATTTAGTCATCATAATGGTTAAATATATGTTTTACAGTTGGACTTTGATGCTCTAAAAGCCAACCATTATGCTATATACATACATATATAGAGACCGACAGACATATGGTTGGGAACAATAGAAAATAAAAATTGAAATGGAGCTGAAATAGTTAAATTATTTTCTTGATGTTATGCTTGTAGATCTACCATATCTGTGCTGCAAGCATCCAGGTGACCACTAGATGGCAGCAAACAGGTACAGAACACTAATGCCAAACTGCCATCTAGTGGCGATCTGTATCTTTACATCTCTAATGTAGTGAGTGTATACACACAGCCATCTTGAGGACTCAGTTGATTCTTAGGGATGAAGATTCATTCTCTTGTTTTTAAAAACTAATTGTATCTCCTCTTTTGTAGTTAAAGATCTAGAGAAAAAGAAGGACACTTCAGGGAAACCAAAACCTAAGGATTTGGATAAATTGAAGCCTGCTGTCCCAACAGAGGATACAGACTTGATGCCTCTTCCAAAACCGCAAGGTCAGAATTTATTAAAGGAGGTGTAGGGGGAATCTAATGGTGATGTTTTGGCTATTCTGTAATACATTCTCCATTGTGATTAGTGTTGGGCAAAGAAATTACCCTGGATTTTTCTTTCTGTTCCCATTCCATTTGATGAAAGAGAATTTGCTTTAGAAAGCCTTTCAGAGATGGGAATTTCAGAACAACATCCTGGGTGGACTGTAGTGTTTTTGTACTGATTTAGTTATGGGGTAATCAAAGGGGGTGCAAACCTGCTGTCTCTCATTATACAATGATCTCTTGAGTTACCTGGAGCCCCCTTGCAGCTTCTTGTCTTCTATTAAATCTCAGCTATAGAATTTATGAGTAAATTCATCCATGCAGCTCTTTCAAGAATAAGGTAAGGGGCCTCCTGTCCTTGAAGAAATTGTTGGAGCATTTCTCCTTCCTCAGGTAATCTGTTCCAACCCCTGCTCAGTGCAGGATCCCCCAGATCAAGTGTTTTTCAGCCTTGGCAACTTTAAGTTGTGTGGACTTCAACTCCCACAATTCCATTGGCTGGGAAATTCTGGGAGTTGAGATCTACATATGTTAAAGTTGCTAAGGTTGAGAAACACTATCCTGGAGCATCTCTGACACTTGACCATCCAGTCTCTGTTTGAAAACCTGTAGCAAGGAAGAATTCCCTATTTCATGTGGCCACCTATTCTTCTGGCTGACAGCTCATATAGTCAGGAAGTTTTTCCTGATGTCTAGCCTAAACTTCCATCTTTGTGGTTTTAACCTACTGATTCTGATGCTGCCTTCTGGGGCAATGGAGAAGAAATCCACTCCCTCTTCTGTGTGACAGGTGTCCAGATATTCGAAGAGTGCTATCAGTCATCTTCTCTGTAGGCCAGAGTTTCTCAATCTTGGGAACTTTAAGATGTGTGGACCAACTCGAGTTGAAGTCCACACATCTTAAAGTTCTCAAGGTGGAGAAATGCTGCTGTAGGCTAAGCATAATGCAGAACCTTAATTGTTCTTTATACAACTGCATTTCCAGACCCTTCACCATCTTGGTAGGCCTCTGAACTTTGTTTGGACCTGGACCTGGTACTCTAAATAGGGCAGAGCACAGTGGAACAATGATTTCCTATGATCTGGACTCTATGCTCCTGTTAATACACCGCAAGACAGCATTTGCCTTTTTAGCAGTCACATTACGATGCTGGGACATGTTTAACTTACAGTCAGCAAGGACACCCAAATCCTTTTCACAGCTACTACTGCCAACCAGTAAACTAAGATCATGGCATCTGGACCCATCAATTCCTGGCAAATAGAAGGGGTAGAAATGGAA